AAGGATTTTACCCGTTCATTCTGCAAAAAGAGCTAGACACATGAAAAAAAAGGAATGTCCCAAGTACGCTAACTGGCGTGTAAATAAAGGTGTACTTCTCACTTCAGTTTGTTTTAAGTTAATTTAGCCTCTATAGAGCCTATCACCAATTGATGCTGAAAGATTCATTTATGTAAGCAATGAAAAACCAGTTACAATTGAGGCTGTAAAGACTTTTAAGTTATTATTAAAAACTGGTTATTTTCAATTGAAAGAGACTTATGTAGTACCGTCTTCTAGACGGAATTTGGTTTCGATTTCTACTTTGGACATATTTGGTTATTCATGTTCATTTAGAAATAATAAATGTAGACTCTTTCAGGATTTAGATTTTATTGGTACCAACTCTTTATATTCGGTTGATCACCTATATTTGATTTATGAGAAGTCATAATCTCTGGACGTATTTAAGGCCTTCAACGCTGAAGTTGAAATCAACTTGGCAAGAAGATAAAAGTCGTTAAATCTGACCGTAGTGGTAAATACTATGGTAGATATGACAGATCAGGTGAACAATGTCCAAGACCTTTATTAGGTTCCTAGAGGAATACAAAATCATCCCACAATACATAATGCCAGGTAAACCTAGCATGAAGGGTGTTGCTGAGAGACGAAACAAGATGTTTAAGGAAATGGTAAGAAGTATGATTAATCATTATTTTTCACAATAATCCCTCTAGGGTGAAGTGCTAAAGAAATGCAGCATATATCCTTAACAGGGTGCTAAATAAATCGGTAGCTAAAACCCCTTATGAATTGAGGACATGCAAGAAGCCTGCATAAGGTATTTACACATTTGAAGTTGTCTAGCTGAGGCATGGCCTCACAGGTTGAATAAAAGGAAACTGAACTCAAGAATTATAAGCTGCTACTTTGTTGGGTACTCTAAACGGTCAAGGACTTACAAATTTTATAATCCCACGATTAGGTCCAGTTTGAGACAGGAAATTCAAGACTCCCTAAGGTTGTTGCTTTTGGTGGAAAGAGATAAATTTAGAGATGTTGTACTTGAAGATGAATTTGTTTCTCTTCCTTTAGTTGCTAGTCATAATGATCACGTTTCAATACCTAGCATTGTTCAAGATGCAGATTCAGATCAAGGCAATTATGAGGAACTTTTTGTCCCAAATCAAGTAGTTGCTCCTAATGAGGAAACTCAACAACCTCAACCAAAAGTGCCATTAAGAAGATTTACTAGAGAAAGGTGAAGTGCGATTCTGGTTGATGATGTCATCTTTCTCCAAGAACATAAGGTTAATATAGGTATGATAGAAAATAATCGTATCAACTTCCATCAAGCCATGAAGAGTTCTAATTCTCAAAAGTGGATTGATGCTATCAAAGAAAAGATGAAATTCGTGAAGGACAATGACGTTTAGGACCTTGTCGAATTGCCTGAAGGTGTAAAACCTATTGGTTGCAAATGGATATTTAAGACCAAGAGGGGTGGGTTCAAAAGGCAATATTGAAAGATATAAGGCTCGTCTAGTCGCTAAGGGATTCACTCATAAAGAATGCATTGATTATGTAGAGACTTTCTCTTCGGTTTCAACGAAAGACTCTTTCAGGATTATTATGGCACTTATGGATCATTTTGATATGGAGCTACATTAGATGGAGGTAAAGACTGCATTTCTCAATGACATTAATGAAATGATATATATGGTGTAGCTAGAAAAACTTTGTATCCCAAGATTGAAAGAATATAATATGCAAACTAAAGAAATCCATCTAAGACTTCTCGTCAATGGTATCACAATTTTCATTAGGTTATTATCCTGTATGGTTTTGAGGTAAATAAAGTCGATGATTGTGTGTATTATAAGTTCAATGAGAGTAAATTAATTTTCCTAATTTTATATGTAAATGATATATTGCTTGCTAGCAGTGGTATAGGCTTGCTACACGAAACAAAGATATTTCTAACTAAGGATTTTGATATGAAAGATCTTAGGGATGTCTCTTTTGTATTAGGCATATAGATGCATCGAGATCACTTTCGAGGTATTCTTGGGTTATCACAAAAGAGCTATATCGAAAGAATTCTAGATAGACTCAACATGAAGGAAAATAGACCAGGAAGTTAAAAAAATACAAAAGATTCCTTATGCGTTGGCAGTAGGAAGTATTGTGTGTGCTCAGGTATGTATGTGTCTGGATATAACGTATATTTTGGAGTTTTGGGCAGATATTTAAGGAACTCTGTGATGGATTATTGGAAAGCAGCCAAATGGGTTATACAACATTTACAGAGAATAAAGAATTAAATGCTCACTTATTAGAAATCAGATCTTTAGGAGATCATTAGGCATTCTGTTTTTGATTTTGCTGGATGCCAATACAGTAAATATCCACGTCGGGCTATATGTACCTGTTGGCCTGCAGAGCTATTTTCTGAAAGAGTG